GGAAGAGACGAAGGAAGAGAAGAAGAAAGAAGAGAAGAAAGAAGAGAAGGCCGAAGAGAAGAAGGAGGAGAAGAAGAAAGAAGAGAAGAAAGAGGAGAAGAAAGAAGAGAAGGCCGAAGAGAAGGAGGAGAAGAAGAAAGAAGAGAAGAAAGAGGAGAAGGCCGAAGAGAAGGAGGAGAAGAAGGAGGAGAAGAAGAAGGAAGAGAAGAAGGAAGAGAAGGAGGAGAAGAAGGAGAAGAAGGAAGAGGAGGAGGAGAGATACGAGGAAAGATATGAGGAGAGGGAGAGGGATTACTACAGACCGGAGCCGGAGCCATGGACGCTGTCCAACCAGCCTCCAATGCAGTTCGAGACGGTGAGGATCATAGCGCCGCAGTACTTTAGCGACGAGAACCCAAACGCGTGCTCGCTTATGTGATCGATGATCAAAGCAATGGTTCGTCCCTCTCCTCGATCTCGTGCGATCGAGATCTCTGGTCGATCGATCGATCTGGAGCCATAGTTTTTCGATCTCTCTTGGGTTCTATCAGATCAGGGAGACAGGGGCGAGGATTCCTCGCACAGGAAACTAGGCAGGGAGAATGTGTATAGAGCCAGCAGAGATGTTTTTCCGGGTTTATTGTAAATAAAAGTCCTCCTAAAACGACGCTTAGCACTCGTCCTTTTCTGTGGAATCTTCCATGTTTGATTGGTCACGCGTATAGTTAAAGTATGATGAGTTTTTCCCTTGGAATCTACTGTTGTTAAGCTTGGCTGGAGATTTTGGGAGAATCACACTCGACTGTTTTTTAAGAGCATGATGAATAGAAAATAATACATGTTGTTAGGAGTCTTAGGCATGAGACCACAATGCAATATATGCAAATTAGATATACTTTATCACTCTTGGCCTCTTTAATCTTTACTGAAAGGTATTTGACAACGATGTGAGATTTGGATGCGTTTTGATCGGCACGCCACAGCTGAGCTCCTCCGAAAATGCCGAGATCCCGTCCAAGCCCAGGCTCTCCACGCCCAGATCGCCAGCTCCAGCCATGGAGCCGAGGCGTTCTTCAACAATCTTGTCATTCACATGTATGCCCGGTGTGGCAAACTCGGCGAGGCTCGCTGTGTCTTCGACTCGATGGTCAAGAGAAACATCTTCTCCTGGAATATCATCGTCTCAGCGCACACGCAGACAACTGGGTTTCTCTCCACAGCTGCAAGCTTTTACGATCGGATGCCTCGTTGGGATCCGGTGGCCGCGACCGCGATGATCGCCGCATTTGCCAGTGCAGGGCAATTGTGTTCTGCAAGAGAGATCTTCGACTGGCTGCCCACTCGAAGCACTATATCCGAGACTGCAATCATGGGCGCATACGCTAAAGCCGGTTTCGTTCAGGAGGCGAAGAAAGTATTCGACATCATCTCTCGCAAAGACGAAGTCTGCTGGAACGCCATTGCAACAGCATATGCCTCAAACCGGCATTTGCACAGAGCTCGTGGTATCTTCGAAAAGATTCCCCAAAGAAGCAGCGTTTGCTGGAACGCGCTCTTCTCAGCGCTGGCGCAAAACGGGCATCTTGCGGAATCAAAACAAGTTTTTGATGAGATGCCCGAGCACGACGAATATTCGTGGACCGGCCTCGTTACAGCATATGCCCGTAACGGGCATCTGGGAGATGCGCAGAGAATCTTCCGCGGCATGCCGCGGTGGTGCCCGGTTACGTGGAACGCGATGATGTCCGCGTGTGCCCGGAATGGGAATCTCCACGAGGCCGTCCGGATGTTCGCGCGGCTCGAACACCCGACCCCCGAGGCCTGGGGAACGCTCATCGCGGGCTACACGTCCAACGGGCGCCTCGCCGAGGCCCGGGAGCTCTTCGATCGCAGCCCTAATCCGGGGATCACGTCCTGGAACGCGCTCATTACCGCCTACATCGACAGTGGTGATCTGGCGGAGGCGGAGCGGCTGTTCGATCGAATGCCCAACCGCGCGTCCGCGTCGTGGAACACGCTCATCAATGGGTTCCTCCAATTGGGCGAGATTTCCCGCGCTAGGCGGCTCTTCGATCGGATGCTCGAGCCGGACACCGCGACCTACGTATGCGTGCTCGCGGCATATGCCCAGAGAGGGCATCTGGAAGATGCGCAGAGTATATTCGACAGGATGCCCGAGAAGAACCTCCTGGCCAGGACGGCGATGCTAGTCGCGCACGCCCAGCGCGGGAGACTGGAAGATGCGCGGAGGATATTCCACGGTATGGTGGAGCGGGATCTTGTGGCGTGGACTGCCCTGGTTGGGGCCCTTGCCCAACAGGGGCATGTGGAGGAAGCCAAGGAGGTGTTTGATAAGATGCCCCACTTGGACCTCGTCTCGTGGAACGCAATGATTGCGGGGTACGCGCAAAATGGACGCGTGGCAGCCGCGAGGTCGTTGTTTGCAAAAACTCCCCATTTGGGGCTGCCCGTGTGGAACGGGATTATCTCGGCTTGTGCCCAAAATGGGGATGGGCGTGCAGCACTGGGGCTCTTCCGGGCCATGGCGTGGGAGGGATTCGAACCCAATACCGTCACATTCGTGAGCGTCCTCCTTGCGTGTAGTCGTATAGGATCTGTAGAGAATACCGTCGGCTACTTTGTCTCGCTCGTTGGGGATTTTGGCGTGGCGGCGATGCTTGATCACTATATGTGCATGGTAGATCAATTGGCGCGCACTGGGCAGCTGGATCACGCCCAGGATCTGATCGAGAGCATGCCCTTTGAGCCCGATTCGGTGGCCTGGACGATTCTGCTGGGCGCTTGCAATGTCCAGGCGGATGTGGAGCAGGGATCGCTAGCCGCGCGGCTCGCATCGTCGCTCGATTCCGAGAACTCAGTGCCGTATTTGCTGCTGTCGAATGCCTGGATCTCTGGGTCTCCAATTTGAGCGTGAAAAGAGCGGGAAGGGGTTAATCCCCTGTTTTTAGGGTTCCTGGTGGCTATGGCGGAGCTCCGGGTGGCTCCAGCGCCAGTGGTTTTCAATTTCTCCGTGGTGCCCAGGTTGCGCGTGGGATTGAGGAGCTGGGGGAGATTCTCGGCCGCCCACATTGTCTGCCTCGCGAAGAAGCGAGTGAGTGACCAAGCTCCGGCGCCAAAAGTAGCAGAGCCTGCGCCGGTAAGCGAAGATTTGCCAGAGGAGGACGTCGTTCTAGAGGGCCTGAATGAGGCAAGTTCTCATTTCCTCTGCGAAAATTTGCGGTGATACCAGTCGTTTTTCAGCTGGCAAACGATGCGCTCCAAGTGATGCTCGGCAAGAAATCCAAGTCGGTGATGGATTGCCTGGAAGAACTGGATGAGGCGGGGGAGTATCTCGTCAAGGAAGGGAAGCTGGACGCCGCGAGGTTCGTGCTCGTCATCAAAAACATGCTAGATCACCAAGTAAGTTCTTGCGATCCCTCCAAAACTTTAGAAACAATGCTAGAACACAACGCATTGAATCTCTAGGTGATAGCGGAGAAGAATGATCTCGAAGGAGCCTACAAGCGAGCTTTCGAAAGAATTTGGAGCTGCGTCGAGGATTCGGGATGGTCGCTCGCGATGCCCGAGAACGAAACTGGAGTTGATCTGGTGAGAAATAGAAATTCTTTTTGAAAGCCATTGTTTTGATATCCTCTGTGTGTTCTTCAGCTAGACGATGAGCTGATTCCCCCGGTTCTTAACCAAAGATAAGGCACATTCCGTCTTCTTTAGCATCGAGGCATATTCTGTCACGTGAAGTGTTGCTCCGGATATTCCGTCAGTGCGCTTTCTTGCTGTTTAAATAGCCTAGAACCCTAGCAAAAACCTCTAGCTTTTTTGGCGATGGGGTTCAAGGGGACGAAGCTCGAGAAGAAGGAGGCCTACGATCTCAAGCTTTGCAAGTACCTTGATGACTACGGCCGGGCGCTGATCTGCGCGGCGGACAATGTTGGATCCAACCAGATGCAGCAGATCCGCCAGGGCCTTCGCCCCGATTCCGTGGTGCTCATGGGGAAGAACACGCTGATGAAGCGCACGATCCGCAAGTACGCCGAGAAGACGGGCAACAGGGATGTTCTCAACCTCATTCCTCTCCTTGTGGTGAGAAATCTGCCTGTGCGCGTGATCTTTGTGATTTCCCGTGATTTCATCGCTCCTCGCCGCGTTTGCTGTCGAAATCTTGCGCCTCTCTTCGATCTTGGATGTGTTCTTGGCGATGTCGTGGTTTCTTGAGGGGATTTCGGAGCTGCCTTGGATCTAGGTTCATTCATTCATTGTAGGGAAACGTCGGGCTTGTCTTCACTAGAGGAGATCTTAAGGAGGTCCGTGAGGTGATCGCAAAGTACAAGGTAAGTTCTTTCACTTCCGATCGATCTTCTCAAGGATTCTTGAGCTTTGTCTTTCTTTTTCCTAAGGTTGGAGCGCCTGCTAGAGTTGGCCTCGTCGCTCCGATCGACGTGACGATTCAGCCAGGGAGCACTGGCCTCGATCCATCACACACATCCTTCTTCCAGGTAAAAACTCTAGAATTTATATTTTTTTATCTCGCGATCAAGCATATGGTATATCAAGTAAGTTGGCCGCTTGTTCTAGGCGCTGAATATCCCGACGAAGATCAACAAGGGGACCGTGGAGATCGTCTCCTCCGTGGAGCTCATCAGCAAAGGCACCAAAGTCGGCTCCTCGGAGGCAGCGCTCCTGGCAAAGCTGAGAATCCGGCCATTCTCCTACGGACTCGTCGTCCGCAGAGTCTACGACAGTGGCTCCGTGTTTGATCCCGCCGTGCTCGACCTCACCGACGACGACCTCGTCGCAAAGTTTGCGGAAGGAGTCTCGGCGGTGGCGGCCATCTCTCTCGCACTCGGCTACCCGACACTGGCGGCCGCCGCGCACTTCTTCCTCAACTCGTACAAGAACGTCCTGGCCATTGCGCTGAGCACCGACTACTCGTATCCGCAAGCCGAGAACGCGAAGGAATACTTGAAGGTACCTCGTTTGGGATATCTAGCTTCTGGATTTCTAGATAGTGTCTTGGTTGGCCTTCTTTTGTTTTTCGTCCTAGGTGGTGTTCTTGGTTTGACGTGTTTAGTGCTTCGTGCAGGATCCAAGCAAGTTTGCCGTGGCTGTAGCTCTGGTGTCGGAGGAATCGAGCACTGCTCCTGTGGTGGCTGCTACAGAGGAGAAGAAAGAAGAGGACGAGGAAGAAGAAGACGATGGAGGAGGATTCATGGATCTTTTTGGAGGCGAAGACTAGAACAGTTTTGGAACACACCAAAGTTTTGTTTAGACGATCTTAAGTCTTTGAAATTTTGGCGATAAAAATGGTGGCTTGATTAAAAGTTTCCGTTGCCCGGAATCGAACCCGACAACAACGGATGTAAGATTTCCCCCATTTTTTAATCTAGGTATGGCAATGCTACTCGGGTGGACGTCCTCCGTTGGCGCTCTTCCCAAGATCGATGGCGGCCGATGCGCTTCTTGCGATTGTCGAGACGAAGGTAACTTATATGCTTCTCCTGTTTCTTTTATTTCGAGCTTGGCTGTTCTTGTTTTGTAGCAAGGAGTCCAGTGGTCACTAGGCGTTTTGCTCTTATTTCCTCATCGTCGGCAGCCCTACTTAGCAGCAAGTTTGCTTTAGCAGTGTCGGTGGCTTGCTTTTAAATCCTCGCTTCGTTCTTTGATGGAGAAATTTTTTTTTCTCCTTGCGCAGAAGCGAGGATGCAAAAGACAGTCGCATTCGTGAAGCTTTGCGGAAAGTTGTGAGCAAGCAAAAAGCTCCTGGTCTTTTGAGGCTCGTGTTTCATGATGCTGGGACTTTCAGCGCTTCCAAAGGTAAAACGAGTTTCTTCTTCATCGCAAATGTCTAGACATCTTCTTTTATATCATTGAGGTGGTGGGATGAATGGATCTATCATTTACGAGCTGGAAAGACCAGAGAACGCGGGTCTCGAACGATCCATCAAGGTAATTGTAATGCACATATCAAGTTAGGCTAAAAAAATATGAGCACTCCTTTTCTTAGGTCCTCAACAAAGCTAGGGGGGAGTTAGAAGGTTCTCTTCATGGTACTGTTTATCATAGATTCTCGCCATGCTTTCGTGAATTAATTTTGGATTATTTTGATGTTTTCTCAGTGTCTTGGGCGGATCTTATTGCTGTTGCTGGGTCAGAAGCCATCGTTATCTGTGGAGGACCCTTCATTCCCGTGAAGTTAGGAAGACTGGACTCAAGGTTGGTGTTGACTCTTTACGATGACCGGAAGACAGTGTATTGACCGTCTAGTTTATGTGTTGATCCAGTGTTGCTGACATACAAGGTGAGCTGCCTAGCGAGGATCTCAATGCTGTGGCCCTGAAGAAGATTTTTCAAAGCAAGGGTTTCTCGTGAGTATGTCTCGTCAAAGTTCGCTCGAGCTTTTCATGCTTTTTTCTTATCACTTTCCTAATGGCTGCGACTTCGTCAAGCTTGTAGGACTCAAGAAATGGTAGCTCTTTCGGGCGCTCATACGCTTGGCAGCAAAGGTTTTGGCAATCCCACAGTGTTTGACAACAGCTATTACGACGTTCTCTTGAAGATGCCTTGGAGCGATCCTGGTAAAGCTGACAAAGATCAAAGACTTTGACGGTGCATCCTTTCTTTCATTTTTTTCTTTGTTTTGTTTTGTTTTTCAGATAACAAAATGGCGTCAATGATCGGCTTGCCATCTGATAGAGTCCTGGTCAGTGACAAAGAGTGCCTCCCGTAAGTCGCTGAATTTCGTTTTAGATGATACTGTTTATTTCTTCGACTTTCAGCTGGATACAAGTATACAAGCGGGACCAGTCGAAGTTCTACACTGATTTCACGTTGGCCTACACTAAGCTGGTAAATCTAGGCGCGCAATGGGAAGGATAAAAGTCCCTGGTAATACAATAGAGAATGGTTTTCTTACTGCTTTGTTTTTTGGCTGCCTCTTTGGCTCTCGTGTTCCCGGCGCAGCCACGTTGCATGTGGGGTGCTCAGAGGCCTCGCAAGAAAGCATATGGCGCTCTCAAGTGCAACGAGGCAAAGATTGACGCAGACCATGAGTGGTACGACTTTTATAAATCTCGTGCTTCGATTTCTTATGATATTTTCCTTGTCTTTTTAACACAGACATGGGCCTGTAAAGGGCAAAGCTACAAAACTCCAGACAAATCTTTGGACAAAGCTTAATGCAGTTCTAATGCAGTCCTAATGCAGTCCCCCGGAAGGTGGCATGGATCTGGCGAATGGGAAAGAAAGCCGAGCAAGGTGGTTTGCCGACAGTGGTTTTTTGAAGATTTTTGCAACTTGTGACAAACACGTTGTGCTGGCGTTTCTCATTTCTGCTGCTGCAACTTTGATTGGTACTGAAACCCGGGAGCTGCGGGGAGTGACACTGAAATGCGGTCCAAATTCTTATTTCCGATCACGATGGACGAGAGCGTTATACACATGGAGCAAAACTTCTATATCGCAGTCGAGAAGGCGTCGTGGTTTGGAGGTCTCTATCCGTCCAACTCGATACCACCCCGAGAAGTCTGCGAACGACACACATACATGCACGAACCGGGTCAAGGCCGGCCTGAAGGAGGGCTGGAAGGAAAAGGAAATGTCGGACAATACTCGCAGCGAGCAGGGACACGTTGGAAATTGTAGTGGCACCGAATCTTTGTCACTTCAACAGGGAGACTAGAACAGTTCTCGGCCGTTTGGAAGGCTGCCGGGCGTGAAGAACATTGGCGTTATCAACGATGAGGACGTCTCCTTTTTGCCAGGGGAAGGCAACTTTCTCCTCGTCCAGGATCCGCAGGCAGGCATCCAGAGCATCCTGGGGGAAGGGAGAGCAATCTCCAAAGTAAGCATCAAAGGATCCCGGGGGTGTGGAGGCCTTGAAGACTTGGATGCCGGCGATGGTGTTGAACCAGACTTTCTCGCCAGTGTGTGGATTGATCTTCACGCCGGGGCAGGGATTGGAAATGAAACGAGCCTCGTCGTTGTCGAGCCACTCGATTCTGGAACCAACTTTCTCGGCCCTGGAAACAAAAAACGGAGCTGGTTAGAGGCAGCAAAAAGAAGTTTGAGGCAAAGATGACCAAGCAGCTTTGGACGCGAAGCAAAGCAAAACCAAAGAGAGTGACAGAAAGGAAAACTCGGGTCAAGCAATGATAGGAGAGAGGACAGCAAGTGGATACCTTTGCTCCGCCTCAAGCTTGTCATCCGTCTGGAACATAGACTTCCAGCTCCCATGCCCTCCCTGGGCCAGCTTCTTGGAGTATCTCACGCCTTTTTGCGACAGCTCCTCGAGGAAGTGCTCGTGTCCACTCTCCACAAGTTTCTCATACACCGTTCTTCCGTGAGCAACTAGCGTGCTTCCGCCAGCCTCTTGTGGAGCGGGGCTCTGGCAGAAGAAAACAATCCTCGATGGCGAGTTTGGAAGCTGGTGGCAGGCAGAAAGTCAGTATCATCGCGAAAAGGGAAGATGAGTGGAACATACATAAGCGACTTCGTTGTGGAAGCCGATGGGCTTGTGGAGCGGGATTCCATCGTTGGCGGTGAAGACTCTCCCCAGCACTCGCTGCCGGGTCGCCTCTCCCCCGACGCTGTACGGGAACTCCTCGCCGTCGAGGCGCTGCACAAGCTCGTCAAAGTCGGCAGCGGAGTCGAGGTTGAACCCGCGGAGCAGGACCGCTCCGCTGCGGGCGAGCTCGTTTCGCAGCAGGGATTTGCCGCCGGGCTGCTCCAGCGCTAGCAGAAGGCTCTGCTTGTCGCTCGACTCGGAGGAACTCGGCTTGAGAACCGCTGGAAAAGGAGCTGAATTGCTCAGGAGCTTCTGCTCCGGGATGCTGCTGTTGGTGGCAAAGATCGTCGTCGCCACCGGCATTTGAACCATCTTCGCGGAACAGAAAAAAAAAACACACAAAAAGAAGGAAACTCAAGCTCTGCAGCAAAGAAATTGGAGTAGCGAGGATCGGATCTCGTGAGGCGAGTGAAATAAAATCGTTCTCTTTCTCTCTTCCGGACTGACTTAAAGCTCTCTTCACAGCGAAACCAAATTGGACTGGGGATTGGACGAGAAAAGAATGAATTGCTCGCCTCTTTTCGGACTAGCTCGCTCGTCTGCTCGAGATAAAACCTTAAAAAACTTGATTGTGTGATAGAGGCGAGGGATGTGGTCGCGTATTTATACTCCCCAGCTGTGGTGGACCTGCTGTCTGTCTACCGCATCAAACTGGCGATAAGGTACAGTCGTTTCGTACACGCTCTTCGCTCTGTTTAAACGAGTTTGTGAGTAGAGGCGAGTTGGCGCTCGCGGTGGCTTACGTGTACGGCCGCAGCTAAGCTGGTTCCAATTCCTCGGGTTGTCTGTGACTCGATATTTTCCGAGTGGAAAGAAGAAGAGCCGAAACCTCTCTCGAGGTAACATCTCATCTTCCATAATAGCTTAATTGATTTTTCCTGGACAAATAATGTCTTCTAATCTTTGCTTGCTGTAGATCCCACGTTTTCGAATTCGTTCCGTGCACGTGGGTGGAGAAAAAGAAATACGGAGGAAAATTTCTCCGTCCATTGCTCGAGCTGGAAGTTTGACAACCGAGTTTCTACAGTGATCATAGGGAAAATTCGGTGTGTTTCCCTTTCGCTACTTGCGTGTTACGACTGCGATAAAGCAACAATAAAGCCGGTGATAATAAATCTTCACTAAACGAGAGATCTCTATTTTCTTGGATTGCTACTAGCTTTTGCCTGCGACATTTGTCCCAAGCCGCGATCATCCAGCTGAAAGAGAGAGATGAAAAAAAAAAAAAACAGAGAGAGAGAGAGCGAGAGCGAGAGAGAGAGAGAGAGAGAAAGGTGCCAAAGCTGAGATGTCATTGTTTCCATATGATTTAACCAGCTCTCGGACTTTCGAGGCAAAATCTTTTTTATGGCAACACTGTGCACTCTAGCTCTCCATTCCAAGGCCTTAGTCTCGTCTCCTTCCTTGTTTTCTTCTAGAAACTTAACCGGATTTAGGTCCAGAAGGAGGAGCTTTGGAGCAGTGCCCAATGCGAAGATTGGCGAGGAGGACAAGACGCTATCATCGAAACAAGGTAAGGTTTTTAACTTTCCCTTGAAGAACACTAGCTAGAGTTTGTAGCTCGTTCTTCTTCTTTAGAAGATGTTTCGAAGACAACCAAGCCGGAGAGTTCCATCGATTTGGGCGATCCGGACTTCGGATGGGTTCCTGTTTTGCCGCACGTACTCACGGCGGCCATGGCGAACTTCATGTTTGGTTACCACATTGGGTGAGCTCTTTCGCGTGTTCTTGAGCGTTGGTCTCTCTGAGTTTTTGGTTTGCAGTGTTATCAATGGACCGCTGGAATCCATTGCCCGGGAGCTTGGCTTTGACGGGGACACCATAATGCAAGGCTTCGTGGTGAGCATTTTCATTGTGGGTGCGTTTGCTGGGAGCGTAAGTGGTGGTGTTCTAGCGGACAAGATTGGACGACGTAGAACTTTCCAGCTGGATATGATCCCGCTCGTCCTGGGGCCTGCTATCAGGTTTGCTCTTTTCTAGTTCTTGGTCGTGTTCTTTCCCTCTTGTTTCTTCTTGCTCTGACTTGTTTGTGTGAATGCAGTGCGAATGCTCACACAGTTAACGAAATGCTCATCGGCCGGGCTTTGGTGGGGCTCGGCATTGGGATCAACACTTCGCTCGTTCCTCTCTACATTTCAGAGGTGATAGTTTTTTCTTTTTCTATTTCCGCAAGTTTTGATCGTAGAGGTTGCTACTTTTCACGTAGATTTCTTTCCTTAACATCTTAGAGCTTGGTTTTACAGATATCTCCCACAAAGTATCGAGGCGCCTTGTGTAGTTTATGCCAGATTGGTACGTGTACCGGGATTATAGTCTCTTTGCTCCTTGGAATTCCAGCACAAACCGATCCTCACTGGTAGTAAACTCCGTCAACTTCGGTGATGGAAAAAAAAAACACATATTATACTTTCTTTTTCCAGGTGGAGAGAAATGTTTTGGATTGGCTCGGTTCCTGCCGCATTGCTCATCGTTGCAATGCAGTTCGCCGTGGAAAGCCCTCGTTGGCTCGCAAGAGTAAGCAAATGCTTCTTTCTCTTTGAAGGTACTTAAAAACTTCTCGCAAGGAGTATCTATACAGAACGGACAATGGGAAGAGGCACTTTCCACGATAAAAAAACTGTGGGGTGAGGCCGAAGTGGAGCAAGCGATCCAGGAGCTGAAAAGATCCAGCGACGTAGATGGCGAGAAAGATCAAGCATCGTGGGGAGAACTCCTGCTCGCACAAAACCGAAAAGGTTCTTAAGTTTCCTCCCTCATTCTCTTAATTTGTTTCATGTTTTCTATGATTTCTTCGCAGTGGCACTCATAGGTGGCTCCCTCTTCTTCCTTCAGCAGTTCGCGGGGATTAACGGGGTTTTGTATTTCTCGTCCTCGACTTTCCACGACGCTGGGATTAGCGATGGATTAACAGCCAGCGTCGCCGTTGGCGTTGTCAACTTTGCGGGTAGTCTTTCAAGCTTGGCTGTGTTCTTGTTTACAATGGCTGGCTCTTCGCAGGGGCGCTGGTAGCATCGTCTCTCATGGACAAACAAGGACGGCGAAAGCTCTTAATGATCAGCTACACTGGCATGGTACAAAACAAATAACTAGGCTCGATTCGAAACACTTGTTGTTCTTAACACGTTTATAGGCGATCTCCATGGCTGTGCTCGTAGTGGCATTGGAGGCCCCCATGGACGACTCCATAGCGCACTTACTTTCCGTGATTGGAACACTCACGTACGTGGAACGTTCATCTAGTAGTTCTTCTGTAGTTTCCAGGCTTTTCTTTGTAGTAGACTTTGATGATCTCCAGTACTGAGCTTTGTCCTCTACAGATATATGTTTACCTTTGCTCTTGGAGCTGGGCCAGTGACAGGTATTATCATCCCCGAGCTATGCACGACAAGAAGCCGAGCAAAGATCATGGCTTTTAGCCTGTGCGTGCATTGGGTGAGTGATCTCTTTTCACTCTTCCGTTTTCTTCTTGTGTTCTTTCGTATCAAGACAGAAAAAATCTCATGTTCTATTTCTACAGGTGTCCAACTTTTTCATCGGCTTGTTCTTCCTGACCGCGATTCAAGCGTTTGGCCTTCCAGCGGTCTACACTGGCTTCGGTGCCGTCTCCTTGGCCACCGTCGCCTTTGCAAACAGCTTCATCATCGAGACCAAAGGCAAATCGCTCGAGGAGATCCAGCTTCTCATAAATCCAGACTAGCGAGCATAGACAAAAGCTTGAAACAAAAACACTTTAAAGTGAGCTAACAAACAAGGTACGCTTCTCGCTATAACTTGATCGGCCACATCGATCGAAGAAATCCAAGTTTTGGAATTCTCGGCAGGCAAGGCTCACGCCTCGATTGGTTTCCAGCGAGTGGCATAAAGATGATCCCGGGAAGCGTCCACGCTGCTGGAAACAAACTTGCTACTACGAAGAATGGCCATGAGGCTCGTACGTTATGCGGCTTTAATAGACAAGGAGGACCACTCTACGGACACAAAAAAACGTCCTTGTGGAATTATATCTTTCTTTTTCCTCTTTTTTCAAAATGTAAGCTTCTCTTTCTCCATCCGTCGAGGTCGAGAACTTTGACAAGGGAAAATTCCTTTTTTTTTGGTGGGAGCTTCTTTGCTTTCAGACGACAAAGACTTTCTCTCGAGCAGCACTACATTTAGATGGAAGAGACGTATGTGTAACATCCGTAGAGGGTCAAATGACAAGCTCGTGAGTTCATGACTGTGGAGCCCAAAATCACCCAATTCTCTTTTATTTCTAGCTCTTATCTTCCTATTATGTATTTATTACATTTCATTTTTTCAAGACAGCAACATAGCATTTTGAAATGGGTTCACCACTTGACAATGTGATCCTTTTTCCAAGAACATAAAAAATTAAAAAAGAGCCCTGTGGAATCTGTCACTCCACCCACCTTGAGCAAAACGTAGGAACTCTTTTGCCACAAACTCTGCAAACTCTGCATATGTATGGGGCCGAGAGAAGTGCTCTACTAGGAAGGTAAAACACCACATTGCATCAAACATGGGAGGTTTGACGTCGAAATCTTTGGTAAGTCATAGGTCGCCACCTTTTAAATGCGCGCGCTCTCTCTCTCTCTAGATAATTAGTGCTAATATAAGTTAGTGGAATGTTCTTTAGAGGAGACTATGGTGAAGATAATAAAATAAGCTTTCATTCTTTTTCATGCATGGGAGAAGGTACTTATAAGCAACAACACTATTGGGTTTGACTTATAATCGAAAATCTAATCACTCGTCTTTCGCATGGAAGTAAAGTTGGTGGAGCCCCAGAGCGATAAAAACGAAAAAATGGGCCAGTACGGCAGGGACACGTTACCCGCCGGTGGGGCTCAACAGCAACGGACATGCGCCGTACGCCCGCATTAAATAATCTGGGCAGGAGACGAGAAGAATATGCGCCTGGAATATACTTGTGAATGTGTTTCTCTCTACTACTAGCGGTCCTCTTCCAGTGATGTTCGAGTGGCTCGTTTTGCCACACCAAAACAAAATTTTAGGGCTAGAGGGGACGAGGAGGGAGGAGGGGAAAGTGGGGGTGGATTTTGGGCGCTGGCTCGGGCAGATTCACGAGTGATTCCTTTGCGCGCGAATTCAGGGCACCAAACAACGCAGCACATCGCCTTTGCGACGCGGCTTCGCGGAAGCCGATGCTTGTTGACTATGGCGAGATCGCTCATCTTTTTCCTCACGGATTGATGAGAGAAATTCCAGTTTTCTAGGCGATCGGTCGCGCGACGGGCGGCGAGCGCTCGAAATTCAGGGTTTTGTAGCTACCAGTTCCCGTGGGGTTTGTTTCTTTCTCTTTTCTCCTCCCCCTCTATCCCCGCTTGCTTTCTATTGCTGTTCGTGGGAGGGAAAATGTCAATCTCTTTCACCTCCACTTTGTTCTCTCTCTTTTTCTTAGAAGGTTTGGTCCTGGTGGGTTGGATTGGACAGAGAGACTGATGACGATGGGCGCAATCTGAGCTCTCCATTCAGGAAGAAGCAGTCTCCAGAGCTCAATCTTCCTCCTCTTCCCCTTACTTCATCCTCATCGCCAGCTTTTACTCGATCGTCATCAAATCCATCAGTCATGGTGTGCTTGGCTTTCCAAAAGAGCTCCACTGGTGGCGCTCTCGAGCAACGCCACGATGCCAGCAAGATCAATGGAGCAGTGTCAGACGTCACCCTCCCGGTTCTCGATGATCATCCCAACAATTCGGCTGGCGCAGCCTGTCAATCCAGCCGGAGCAGCAAGAAGATGAGCTTGAAAGCTTCCATTCTTTTCAAGCTCACGCTCTTCATTGGAATTGTGGTAAGTGTCCTTTCTTTTAAGTTCTTGCTCGTTGTTTCGTTTTTGATATTTTGTTTTCGCCTGCTTCTTTATGTTGGTGGCAGACTTATGCAAAGTTTCTCTATCTTTTTCTTTTCATCTTACAGGTCGTATCTTCCTCTGGAGTTCTAGCTGCTGTTCTATGGTTTAAGACACACCAGCAGCTAGCTGACGAGATTGGCCGGCGCTTGGCAGCAGTCTCGGTTCTCCGGCGGGAGCAACTCAATGACTACTTGCTGGGCGAGATCGATAAGATGGTGCTCATCGCTTCCAGAATCCAGATTGTTAACAATCTCGCAAACACGGGAGTTACGCGGGAGACCGCCAAGTATGACCTCCAGTCGGCCATCTCTGCCATCTCGGAGATCACGGGTGCTGCTGTCTACAACAAGGAAGGCTCGCTCCACTTTGCGACGAGCAACAACCAGACTTTCAGTCCCTCTCTCGCCCACCAGGATTATAAGCTTGTGGAGACCGCGCCTGTACAGATCGCTTTCCCGAAACTGCGTGACAAGCTGTGGGAGTATAACATTTCTAGAGCCATTATGCTGGTAAGATGTCTTTGTTCTTCCTGGTTTTGGATTTCTTAGCGTGGTTTTGACTTTGCATAGTAGTTATAACCTTTGTTTTTTATTCTTTTCGTGTTTTGCTCTACAGAATCAGACCATGATAGGAGTGCTGACCGCGTTGATTAATGCGACAACGTTGAAGACGTTAATCCACGACAGAACTGGGCTCCAGAACACTGGCGAGCTGATTGTCGGGGTGCCTATTGAGAATAAAACTGTGCACCTCTTGTTGCCTCCGCAAGCTCATCCCGGTGTTACGTCGGTTCCTCTCAGTGGTGCCATGGCCAGTGCTATAGGCGGACTATCTGGAGTTCGACGAGAGCGAGACTATAGAGGAACGGAAGTTATCGTCGCCTACGCTCCAGTTGGATACCTGAACTGGGGTGAGCTTGTTGGTTTGGTTTTTTTATTCTGTTCTAAAATCTTTGGTTGACTTGCAGGTCTTCTTGCAAAGCTCGATATCAAAGAAGCTTACGCACCAATATCCAACATACAAATTGTTATTGTGGTCACCATAGTGGTGATTCTGGTCGTTGGAATCATCGCTTCTCTTTGCCTTGCAAAGGTAGAAGGAAAAACATTTCTTCGTTTATTTTTTTAACGTGCAATTGCAGGTTTTCACCGCACCGATTATCGAGCTTGGGAAAGTAGCAGCGGCTCTTGGGAGTGGTGACATGGGAGCTCGAGTCAAGAGTAACTCAGCCTGGTTTCGGGATGAAATTCATGACCTGCAGGGAATTTTCAACAGCATGGCAGATCAGATATCTGACCATCACTCTACGTTGGAGCAAAAGGTTTCTTCGTCGTGTATCTTTTGCTTCTTATAATACTAAGCCTACTGTCTCTAGGTTGCAGAGCGAACGCGAGATCTTGCTCGAGCAAACGAAATTCTGGCGACCGAGATCGAGGAGAGAAAGCGGATGGAGATGGAGCTACAAATGGCCAAAGATGTAGCCGTCGCAGCTGACAAAGCCAAGTCGGAGTTCCTCGCAAACATGTCACACGAAATTCGCACTCCCTTGAACGGAATCATCAACTGCACGGAGCTGTGCCTGGACACTCACACGTCTACGGAACAACAAGAATATCTGGAACTTGTACGTAAGATCAAGTTCAAGCTTGTAGCTAGATTGATTCGAGTGACCAACTTGGGTGCCTCGTTGTATCAGGTGCGCTTCTCTGCGAAGCATTTGTTGCGGATAATCACAGACATTCTAGATTTCAGCAAGATAGAAGCTGGAAAGCTGGAGATGGAAGACATCCAGTTCTCGTTGTCTGACCAGCTAGAGCACGCTGTGTCAGTTCTAGCAGCACGGGCACACAAGAAAAACCTGGAGCTAGCTTGGAGTGCTGATGCCGATGTTCCTGATCAGATAGTTGGCGATCCTGGGAGGCTCTTTCAAGTGTTCGTCAATCTCATTGGTACGCAGCGTATCTTTCAGACACAGATTGGATTCGCATCTAACTTTTTAGCGTTTCTTTCTCTAAAGGTAACGGGATTAAGTTCACGGAGGACGGAGAAGTCGTGGTTCTTGCGAAGCTTCAAAACAAAACCAAAGAAACTGTTGAACTGCTGTTTTCAGTGAACGATACCGGTAAGTATATACAAGTCGAGCATTTGGATCCATCTAATTGAGTTTTTTCAGGAGTGGGAATCCCGAAGAACAAGCAGTCACTACTGTTCCAGGCTTTTTCACAGGTGGATTCTTCCACCACGAGGTAGTTATTTTCCTTGTCCTTGTTTTTGCAAAGGCTTGTTTCTAATGGTTTTTTCTTTTACTGAAGGTTGTATGGAGGAACCGGGTTAGGACTCGTGATATCTTCCAAGCTCGCTGCAGCCATGGGAGGAAGAATGTGGGTGGAAAGTGAAGGGCAGGGAAGTACTTTCTACTTCACGGCTACATTTCATGTCCCTGTATCAGTGCCTGGAACTTCGCCGCCTCTAGGCGTGGAAAGCTTGAAAGACGTCTCCGTCCTGGTGGTGGACGACAACAAAACGAGCAGAGACATCCTTGTTCGAATGCTCAGGGTAAAAGACTGGCAAGCTTTTGTTTCATTACTTCCACCTCATTTTTATTTTTCTTTACTCAGGCGTGGGGAATGGTTGTGGAATCCGCAAATGGTGTTGAGGATGCTCTTTCGGCCTTCCAAAGAGCTGCTCAAAGAGGCCAGCCTTTTAGGGTCTTACTCCTCGATATGTGGCTGAAAGGGACGAGTGCTACTGACTTGGTAAAGAGTTTACAAGAAAATCCAAGCTTGATCCAGAGCCGGAGCACAGCGAGACCCCTCAGTGGTGTTAGCAGCAGTTCACAGACTATACACTGTAATAGGCTGTGTAACGGAGACCATGAAGTGGAGCCCGAGTGTCCATCGATATTGATACGTGGACACAATAAACTCCCCAATGGAATCATCCACAAGCATCGGGGATCACCAGCTCAAAGTCCCAAGTCTCAAGTGGCAGAGCAAAACTTTTCGACGCCAAGCGAAGGTACTAAGTGTCTGGACCAAAATCTCAAAGACACTCCAATGCTTCCTATTGTCATGCTTACTTCTCTAGAACACTCGGACGCAGCAAGGTACAATCTCTTCATTCTTCCTTTTGCTTATTCATGGCATACTTCGTGCTTTTTTCCCAGGTGTAAGCAGATAGGTGTTGACGTCCACACATCAAAGCCAATCAAACGAGCTCTATTAAAACGAGCTTTAAATGCCGCTCTAGGAATTCCCGAAGATCCTGAAATTGTCTCTCATGAGCCACAGGTAATGCAATGGAGTTTTTTGTTTGTCTTGATTTTATGCCTGAATATTTCCAGGGAAGATCGCTCAAGCAAATCCCTGAGGGACAATCCAAAGGCCTCAAGATTTTGGTAGCAGAAGACAATGTCGTGAACCAGCGGGTTGCAATGACACTGCTACAGAAGTGGGGACATGCAACCGTTTTGGCTTGCAATGGTAGCGAAGCGGTCGAGCAATCGTCAAAAGAGTTTTTCGATCTCGTCTTGATGGATGTAAGTTCTTTCTTCTTCTCTACATTTTTGTTTGACACTTTCTTGTGAAAAATCCAGGTTCAAATGCCAATTTGCGATGGTTTCCAGGCCACGAGGGAAATTCGTGAGCTTGAGAAGAGCAGTGGAGTGAGAACTCCTATAGTTGCAATGACGGCACACGCCATGTCCGGGGACGGAGATCGCTGTATAGCTGCTGGAATGGATGGGTACATTAGCAAACCTCTTAACGCGAAAAAGCTAAAGGATTTACTCGAGCTAGTTGCTACTGGTACGTTAAGGTTGGATTTAGTCATGTATACATAACCTCGTTAGCTAGCTTTGATTCCTTATAGCTCAAGAAATTTTGTTTCTACTTTGTAATATATTTTATATATATATAAATATATATATGCAAATTATTTTCTGTAAGCCACTTTGATTCTTTCCACAGAGGTCACAACAATTCTGGCAGAGATTCCAAATGACATGAGTGACACTTATCTATATCCAAAGAATTGTAATTTCCACTCCTTCATTATCATTGCACAAATCTCAACTCTCAACACTATAAACTTTGCAAATTGCTTGAGATGCTCAGCAGCTGATGTCATGGTCACTAAAAAATGTTAGTCACTTGCTCCAAATATGACATGGTTAATAAATTTCTTCCATAGCATAAGAAAAGAGGGAAATCTCCATCTTCTCTCTTTTTTCTCTTTAAATGTATAAGTCATACATGCTTACTATTTCCGTTATCCCTGTTTGGCACACTAAAATGTGGCAAAATTGTGCTTGATATTAAGAGAACTCTCCCATTAAAAGTAAAGGCTTGACATTTTGTTGAACATACTATCATTGAGTATAGACAACCCTTGGAAGTGTCAATGGCAGTAAGTCCTCATCCTCTTAAGAGGCTTAAGCAATTTAAAGCATTTAAATAGCTAAAGCCTAAGGAGCTACAATGACAGCAAATCCTCATCCTCGAGGCTTAAGCAACTTAAAGCATTTAAATAGCTCAAGCCTAAGGAGCTGTGGAAGGAGAGATTTTCTAGAGTTTTCATAGTGGCTGGAGTAGCAGTAGCAGCAAAAACAATCACCATTGTTTCATCCACCAGAGCTCTATTTTTGATAAATCATAATAATAAGAACAATAGAGAGAGAAGGGGAGAAGATTCAACTTCAAGATTATTGTAGTTGAGGTTGTGGTCAAGCAATAACTATATGCAAATTGATTGTTGGTGTGATATGCTCTACTAAGAAAGTTGTGCCTTGGATGCAATTGTGCTCTTAGCCATTCTCAGCACTCCAAACACTCTATGGAAAATCCAAACAAAGAAATTAATGTATGGAATACAAAAAGCTGTGTATATCCAATTAGTCTAAAAATTTTATTTTATATATAGGAGTAAATGGTTTGAATTGAAACCAACTTGACAGTTATCAAAATTTCACTATACTAATAATAGTATATAATATTGTAACTGTATCTATGAACTTTATATCATCACTTCTTCTCATAAAGATAAAAGGTAATTAGGGTTTTCTTGTTGATGGACGAATATAAAAAAAAGACATTATAGGTGGTGCATCTACTTTTTTATCTTTTTATATGTTTCAATTGTTGCATATGTACAATATTTGGAGGATCATTTTATTAAATGTTATGCTAAACACTATAAACTTGCAATCTAACTTGCTACAATACTTGATATACTCATTTTTTTTGATAAATAGTTCTTTAAACAAACCAAACTATGTACAATAAAATTAAGAAAATAAACCAACACTCCACTTTGTGTTCCTTGTATGGATAATGATGAAAGTCATAGTGTTGTTGTTGTTCTACTTGTATATTTAACAAATTTTACTTGAACCAATGGAAAACTCCTCATCAGATATTGATCCTAGAACTTAATATTGATAACTTTTGACCTCACCTCTATTGGTAATATAGGATTACAATCATATATAAATTTATATTGTGAAGCACTAATGGAAGTTTACATCTTTATAATATATGTATATCAGAGAGATGATATATAACCATCTTAATCCAAATATTGAAAGTTCATATACTTTGTGATCATCCCCTTATTCTATAGTTATATTTAGTATTCATTTTACCTTTTTTAAAAATATCATAAATAAATCCCAATTTATTCTGCCTTTTATAAAAATAATTAGATTCATACTATAAGCTAGCTTTTAATTTATCTTAGATATAATTATAAAGGTTTTATGAAGATTGGAGTTATACCAATTTTTTGCACATTACTACATATAAAAGTGTGAAACTCCCATGGAATTATTGACTTATATAGTATAGTAAACATGATAACATGAGAACCACAAGCCATAACATTATCATCAATTTATGAAATCTTGATGAATTAAATTAACTTTACCTTTAACCACCGTGAAAATGAAGGACTTCAAAACCTAAATATAGCAAATTGCTACCATTCACAAAAAAATCAACACAAAAACATTTGCATTAACACAATCAAAACGTTAAAAGTAACAATGTGTGGCTTTTTATAACACAAGAACAAGCGAAAATAGGAAATGCAATAGACATTAATAGGAAGAACATATCTGAATGACAAAACACTACCTGTCAATAAATAATAGATTAGGGCGAAACTAAAACTCATGAAGCGATGTGACGACCGAGGGGCGTGATGGCGGCGGTGCCTGCCAAGGGGAGGCGTCGGATCATTCGACTGGGCGTCGAGCACAACAAGAGGATGATTTTCCTCGCGTTGCCGGAAAGCTGGAGCATTCTAGATCTCATGAAGCGCTTGCATCCCCTCACGGGCGTGCCGCGGCGTCTCCAGAAGCTGATTTTCAGGGGTAGTGTCTTCTTTCTTCTCGTCTTGAATCTGTCGGGGGTTTATGCGAATTAGGGGGCGTGTTCACGATGGATCGCCCAGTGTCGCTGGAGCAAGCTGGATTCTTCGATGGATGCAGAATGATCCTGGTGGTGAAGGACTGGACAAACGCGTGATTCTTTCCGTTTCAAGGCATCGGGGCATTTGTTTTTTCGGCGATGCCTGTGAAGTCGAAGGTATCTATTCTCTCACTTTTCTTTGTTTTTTTTTTTTTCCTTCCTCTGGAGACTTGATTTCTTTTTCTTTTGCTCCCCGCAGGCTGAGAAAAGTGGCTCCATACGAGGTACGCCATTGCTTTAGCCAGCAAAGATTTTCCTTTTCTCACGTTTTGGTGAAACAGAGGTATCCCATGCTTGGAACCAGGTCTGGTTTGAGTTTTTTCGAAGCTAGCTGTTCAATATTTCGATCAATTTCTCTTTGCTTTTTTTTTCACTAAGAAAAGCTGCTTTGTGTGCATGGGAAAGCGGCTTATAGATTTGCATCTGAGTTACCTCCGAGAGCACTACACCAAGCTGGTACAAGAATGCAAGCACCTCGCAGATGCCAAGCGCCTCCACGCACAGATCATAGACGATGGGCTCGGGGACGACGTGTTTCTCGCGAACCATTTGGTCACCATGTATGGGAAGTGCGGGAGCAGTGACGATGCAGCCAGTGTTTTCAGCACGACCTCTCGTCGCAGCATCAGCTGCTGGAACAGGACAATCCAGGCCTTTTGTAGATGCGGGGAAACGCAGCGAGCTCGACATTTGTTCGACAAGCTGCCGCGGTTCACGACAGTCGCTTGCGTTATACTCATCAGCGGATACGCCCAGAAGAGGCAGCTGCAGGAGGCCAGAGCTATCTTCGACTCGATGAAGGTGGTGGACTCGGTTGCTTGCACAGCTCTCATGGGGGCTTACGGCAGCAATGGGAATCTGGAGCAGGCCAGGGAGATGTTTGATCGGGATCCAAAGCACGACTTGGTGTCCTGGAACGCGATGGTCGACGTTCTCTCCCGGAACGGGCATCTGAAAGAAGCTCGCCAGATGCTAGACAGGATGCCAGTGCACGACGTGATCTCGTGGACGGTCATGGTGACGGGGTATGCCCAAGCCGGGCATCTCCGGGAGGCGAAAGAGCTTTATGACAGGGTCGCGGAGAAGAATGTGGTGACCACCAACGTTATGGTAACAGCCTATGCCCAGCGTGGGGACATGGAAGCCGCGAAGTTTATCTTTGATGGCATGGAGGAGAAGAGCGAGGTGACTTGGAACGCTATCCTGGAGGGGTATTCGCAGAAGGGAGATTGCGAGGAGGCTATGGATATTTTCAAGCTGATTCCCGTCAAGGATGTGGTGCTGTGGACGACCTTGTTCATGGCCTTTGTGCACAAGGGAGACTTGCGTCGAGCCGACGAGATTTTCACGAAGATGCCCGAGCACGACGTTCCGTCCTGGAACGCTCTCCTCGCGGCATACGCGCAGAAGGGACGGGTGGACGAAGCTCACAGCTTGTTTAGCCGGATGGTCTTTAAAGATCTCATCACCTGGAGCGTGATGATCTTCGGGTATTCACAGCAGGGCGACGGGAGGAAAGGCGTGGAGCTTTTCAGGACTCTGGTTCTCGAGGGATTAGAGCCCGACCACGCATCGTTCACGGGACTTCTCTTCTCATGCAGCCATGCCGGCCAGTTCGAGGAGTGCTTCCAGCACTTCAAGTCGATCACTGGTGACTTTGGCCTGGCTCCCAACGAGGACCACTACAACATCTTTGCGGACATCCTCTCGAGATCAGCGCGGCTCGAGGAGGCCGAGGATCTCATCAAAACCATGCCGTTCGAGCCGGACGAAGTGGCTTGGAAGGCGCTGCTAAACGCTTGCAAGACAAACTCCGACTTGAAGAGGGGACAACGAGCTGCCGAGCAAGCAGTCGGGCTAGAGCCTCACAAGTCAGCATCCTACTTGTTGCTCTACAGCATCATCCACAATGCCCGCAGCAAAGTTTGCTCATCTCATCAGTGACGGCATCTTGTTAAGACTTCGCAACAGCGTTATAAAACTTACACTCAGCCTTCCCTTTTTTACCAAGAGTCAAGAGTCAACGCCCAAGACTCTAGTTTTGCGATGGCGCATTAGTCAAACTTCACAACATTTCACATTTGTTATAGGTGAGAGCTTAATATTTGAAGAGATTGAGCTCATTTACAATCACTTCAGGCATCGATCTTACCCTTGCACACAAAGTGCCACAAAACTGTTCCTAAATTATGCTCAGGAAACCTTGATTCGTAAATAGGTAATCTTGTTCCTAAGAAAATTTACCTGGAATCGTCCACAACACACTGGGTGACAAACTACGCCTCAACTTTGACGGCCTTCAAAAGCTGTTTTACTTTTTCATAGAATGATAAAACATTCATTTGAACTTCCATTCCTAGTGCCAGTGCTGTATGAGATGGCCCTACCTACCAAGACGCATCACCCTTGTGGGTCCATTTTTTTCAAATTGCATATTAGCCGTCCTTCCAATATCTTGATGTTCAGGTGGGATGGTAAAACATGATGCTTAAGACTGAGAAGGGATTCTTGAAGTGCGTGTCCATAGTTCTGAAAGATGAGAAGTAGACATTGTAGATAGCAATGCTGCTCAATGATGAATTAGCCAAGGAAGTGTTACATAAAGTTAGAAGTGCCATGCTTAACAAAAAACTTAGCTGTGAGAAAAAATTTCTGGGATTAGACTATTTACAAATAAAAAATATTTAAAATTTATAACATTTTTCATATGTTCTTTTTGTTACATATGAAAAAGACTTACAATATAAGTTCTATTTGGGTAAATTTTTATATGTTTAAACTTATTGGTAAAACTTTAACAGATTTATATTGTAAATCTAGCATATATTAATCATTTTCATACCATTTTTGCACATTAGCTAATAACATTTTTTTTAGTATTCTTCATTGTTATTATATAAAAATATTGTTTAGAAATTTGTATCCCCTTTTATATATGACATCAATAAAAATTATTATAGAGTTAAAAAAGTTCTTTAATACTCAAAGTAAAACTACATATTAACTGTGGCTAAAATCTGAAAATAAAATCACAAAATAAAACTTAATAGAAAATATATATTAATATATAAAAATATATTATCTACAAAGAAAAGAGACTAGGTATGTGGGAATAAGTAATTATAAAATAATTATTCAATTATACACTTTTAGACATTTAATACAATATAAAAACTGTAATTATAAAAAATTACCTTCTTATGGATTATGCTAGAACCTATATGAGTTTGAAGTTTACAATCATTGACTTCTTCTCTAGATTTATAAGGAAATTATCTTTTAGTAATTTGAAAATTATGAATTTGACTATAATATAATAATATAAAAATCAGTATATTGAAGAGTTTAATTTAATAGAGTTCTTAACACCAAATTAAATATTTTAAATATAAAGATCTTGTAGAGCTGAACTAAATAATTTTAAGTTTTTATACAGGCATTTATAATCCCAGAAATAAAGAAGGAATAATATTTTACTTTATTGGTTTAGTATTTAACTAAAATGATATCTCTAGTAGTATTATTTTTATTTTATAAAAAACATATAAGAATCTCAATAACTTATAAAAATTCCAAATATTCAAGTATTAATTAACAAGGTAAATGAAAATTATTGAAAGATTTATGTACTTAATTATAATTCTAGATAAGAACGTTTGAAGTTTTAGTGAATGAATATATTATTCATCATTTCTTGGATATGAGATTTTTAAAAAAATATTATAATATTATCATTTAATATCTCATTTTAAGTGATTGGGATATAGAAATAAGTATATTAATTGGGGTTTAGACCACTTTTTATATACAAGAATGGATGGATAAAATTTAGTCCCAAATGGACAGTCTATATACTATAGTACTATAATTAGTATATTACCTAGCCAAGGTAATACATGTATATACATATGTATATTTATAAACCTTACACCATCCTCTTCTTTTGAAGATGATAATAAGTTAAATGAAATATTTAGACATTTTGTTAAGTGATTATAAACTATTACAAGAATTTAAAAATCCAATAGAATCCTAATGTATTAGTTGCTACTTTGTGTGCAATTGCTAAATGCTCAAACCAACTATGAAACCATAACTTTGAACAAAAGCAAGAGATTTCAAAAACCACTATAGTCCATAAAATGCCATTGCAACAAATGATACATCCTAACTTCAAGTCTACTTGTGGATAATCCTTTGAACAACTATTAACTTAGACTTATGGCCTTTAGTTAATATCTAAGATCTGTGTTAACTCAGACTTATGACTTCTATCCTTGTTTAACACCACACATGGGAGATTACACTCACTCTATTTATCCTCCACATCCTCATTATCCCCTCCTAAAAGGAAAAAAAAGTTTTGAAACACTAGTTTTGTTTGGATTGATTATGCTTGTCTTCACTCTACTATCTATATTTAGCCTTATTTCACTATCGCATTCATTTGACTACTCTACATTAAAGTTGAATGTGCCATTTGGACTTACTATACTCTCACTCCACGATCTATGTCATTCATCCTCACTCTACCATTATATTCACTTGTCCTCACTCCATCATTGGGGCCAAACTCCTCCCCATTCCCTTTACCCCCTTCTCCAAAGAAATAAAGTTTAAAGTATCAAAGCAAAAAAGAGAAAATAAGAAAAATTAAGGAAAAACTATTATAGAAGAAGAAAAAAGTGGATAAAGAAGCATTAGAAAAGTAATTTGTAGTAGTTAGTAATGTAGAAATAAAGAAATCAAAAGAAGGACACGTGCTCAAAACTTAGAAAATAAAGAACTTCCTATTATAAAATATTTCGTCCACCACAATAAAAGTTAAATATTCACACCACTCAACCTTCTTAACATACAACTCAACATTTGAGATGGGAAAATTAATAGAAATGTCCACATTTTTAAAGGAATATATAAACTTTTTAGCAGTAACAATAATACAAAGGTTCTTAGTGGCACTCACAATTAAACATATGCATTCATGAAACTCTAACTAAAGTGACTCAATCCTTGGAATAGAGGAATACTCAACACCAAAACTGATCAAAAACTTTATTAAAGAAACAAAAACAAGATTCTCAACTTCATGTATATACTTAACATTCAAATTAGTATGAGGAGGATAAAAAACACTCAAATTAACACTAGATTGAGAATGAAAATCATAAAAATTAAACATGATTGATATGCTAGGAAAAGGAAATATTACAAAAGAGGAAGGAACATTAGGAAATGAGAAGGTGGCTTAAGCCAAAAAAGGTTGGGAAAGAGTAGAAGGTAAAAAAAAAAGATTAAATGGTAGATTAAAAAATTGACACCTATATTGTGAAATGTCCATTTCATCTTTAAAGCTATCTCTATAATAATTAAGCTCACTTTAGAATCCATTCAAGTTTATATATATTGTTTTCTCATAAATTTGATCCTCAAACATTCTCCAAGAATTGGACTACATCATCCATAATTCACCAATTAGTGTCATTGATCACACTTTATATCAACAGAAATGGTAGAACATTAAGAATAAGACAAGTTATGTAATAATGTCTTATGAAAGTTAGAGACACCAATACACCAAAGACAGGCACAACACTAAAAAAGTCGCATATTACAACACCAAAAGTTTGATCCAATGGCCACTAATAAAGTCACATATTACAACACCAAAAGTTTAATCCAATGGAACAACATTAGCAGCCTCAAGTGATATATTCCTTAATTGATGACAATGTGGCATAGTAGGAAAAGAGAATGTAATGAAGATCAAAAGAAAGAAATACAATGATAATTAAATTTCTAGATTTTGCAAAAAAGCTAATACAAATATAAATTTCCAAGAAGAATGAAGAAATAAGAACAAAAAGTAAGATTTTGACCACTAAAGCAAAGCATTGCCAAAATACTTTGCCTTTAGGGATAAATTACAGTGCCACTTTCCTCTACCAATGTGAGTGCTTGGGATATAAGAATAAATATATTAGTTAAAGTGTATACTCTTTCTTATATACAAGAATGGACAAACAAAATGGATGGTATATATATTATAGTATTATAATTAGTAAGTTAGGGTATATAAATACATATGTTTATTTACAAACATTATATCATATAATTTTAATATATATAATAAAATTTATTTTAATCTAAATTCTAGAAATACATGTTCTTTATTACATATATAGAGGATGTATCTTCATATGTAAAAAATTAAAAATTCTAATCTATATTTAAATTCTAGAAAGTTGTTAAAATTAAAATCCAATTAATAATATATAACATAAATAATGTTATAATATACATTATGAAAGAACTCAATAAAATCCAGCTATTTTATTAATACTTTTTAATTCTTACATTATATACATTATCTTATTATGTATATAAAAATCTCACTTTTCATCCATTTAAAACTATTATAATAGTAAAAATAAAATAAATAATATAAAAATTGTAATACTATTTTTTAAAAATATATTGATTAATTTATTTAGAATATAATGTTAAACAGCTAGTTTTTAATTGTAACATCACAAAAAAAAAAATACAAATTATTAGTTTTATTTTATAAAAATTAGAACATTATAAGTATTTTAATTAAATTAAAATTATTTTAAATTTTGTGTTAGATATTTTTTTTATAATTAAAATTAAAAACTTAATTAAAAGTATAAAATCTTATTCTTTGAAAATAAATTTTGAAACTTTAAATATATTTCATAAAGCCTCTCTCGCTCTTGAAAGCCTTGTCAGGCCCGGTTCTGGTTTTGAAGGACATGGACGGCCTGGTGTAGTAGCTCCAATCTTCGCAATTCGAATGGCTGGTACGTGTATCCATCAAAGTTTTATACAGCAGCCAAACATCAACCCCCTTCTCGTAAGAAAAAGTATAGCTACAATTGTCTTTTATTAAAAATTTGACAAAAACAATATGAAAATAAAAACACTTTAGAATAGGTTATATGAAAGATGTTAATCCTTAAATAAAATGTTGGTTGCATTTAAAAATTCACTAGAAATTAATATTATATTCTTAAACAAAAAATTTAGATTTGCCAACAAAAAAAATTAAATCTGTTAAAATTAAATTTATCTCATCCAAAATTTTCCTTCTATTTAAATAAATTGGTAAAATATAAATTACAACTATTTTGAAATTACACATCTTTTTCGTATTTTGTACTGTGAAAGATAAATCTACATTGTAGAATAGTATGCTGGAAAGAATCCATTAGTGAACCAAATGAAGCTTCTCAGCCATTAGGAATTAACATACCATATATGCATTGGGAACATCTGGCAAATGTGACAGGGAACGTAGAAGGAGAAACACTGGAGCCAGCAATCCTGTTCTTTCAGTGCAACACAAGTTCTCGATTGGGGAGGAAATCCATGGAGGACGAAGAAGAGGAAGAAGAAGTTTGTTTTGGATCTTGGGTACCGATTCCGAGCTCCTTCATCGTCGTCCGGACTCTGGCAACGCCGGCCCAGTCCCCGACCGCGGCATACAAGTTGGAGAGCAAGATGTAAGGTGCCGTTCGTCCGGGACTTAGTTTTGTGGCGACATCAGCAGCTCTCTCGCCGCGCTTCACGTCCTTGTGACGCACGCACGCATCCAGGAGCGTGATCCAGCCGATGGCATCCGGCTCGAACGGCATCGAGCAAAGCAGCTCCTCGGCATGGGTGACAAGCCCGGATCGTCCGAGATGGCTGGCCATGCACAGAAAGTGATCATAGACTGGAAGGATGCCAAAGTCGGAGGTCATGGACAGGAAGAAGGCGTGGACGCTCTTCGAGTTTCCAGTGTGGCAGCAAGCCGCTAGAACGCTGGTGAGAGTTATCCGGTTTGGATCCAGGCCATGAAGGAGCATCCGGTGGAAGAGCTCGAGGCCGAGCTTGGCGTGGCCGCTCTGGGCGTGGCCGGAGATTATAACGTTCCAGGCGGGAACTCCTCGGTGGTCGGGCATCTGGAGAAAGAGCTCCAGGGCGGTGGCAAGCTGCGCGTTCTGGGAGTAGACCGCGATCACTGCGCTCCAGCCAATGAGATCTCTCGAGGGCATTCGATCAAAGAGGTCCTTGGAGCCGCCCAAGTTGCCGCTATGCGAGAGCGCGACGAGCAGCGTGGTCCAGGAGACGACGTTCTTGGCGGGAATGTGCTGGAATAATCTCCGGGCTTGATCAAGATGCCCGGCCTGAGCATATGCCGCGAGCATCGTGTTCCAGGTAACCACGTCTCTCTCCAGCATTCCATCAAAGAGGGATTCTGTTTGCTCGAGGCTACCGTACCGGAGATGGGCCGTGAGGAGGAGATTGTACGCCAGCACGTCTGGGTGGCCCATCGCCTCTAGTACGGACCTCGCCTCGTCCAAATGCCCTAGATTGGCTAATGCGGTGATCATCACGGTCCAGGAGACGGCCGTGCGCGCAGGGATCTTCCGAAATATCGCCCTCGCGCGATCGATCTCGCCACAGGCTCCGTGCGCCGCGATGATCGATGTCCAGGAGATGACATTCTTGATCGGCAGAGCCGCGAAGAGGAGCTGGGATTGTTCTAGGTCCTCGGCGGCGGCGTAGGCCGCGATCATCACGTTCCAGGCCGCGGAGTCCCACTCCGGCAGGAGATCGAACAAGATCCTGGCGTCGCGCAGCCGATCGTTGTCCGCTAGCGCCGTGAGCATCGCAGTCCAGGCGACGAGGTCTTTCTCCGGCATTTGGTCGAAGAGGCTCGAGGCCTCGGCGATATTTCGGTCCTGCGCGTTGGCTGTGATCATCGCGGTCCAAGAAGCTGGGGTTCGTTGCCGCATCGTGTCGAAGATCTCTCGCGCCTGGGGGAGCTTGCCGTGACTCACATAGGCGGAAATCATCGCGGTGCCTGAGAAGGCATTGCCGCGCTGCCCGATCGAATCGAAGACCGCCTTGGCTTCCTCGAGGCATCCACAGCTTCCATACATCCGGATGAGGAGATTCTGGAGGAGGATGTCGCCGCCGAAGCCAGCATCGACGATCTGCTCGTGCAAGCGCCTGCCATGGCCGAGATTCTTGGAGCTGACGCACTGGCGAAGGAGCGTGACGAAGGATGTCCGTTGGTGGTAGCTGGCCCGCGAGATTTCGTTCTGGAGCGATCGAGGCAAGATCATACAGAAGAAATTCTTTTAATTCTTGTGTGTTTCTTGTGTAGCCCTAGCTATGGCGGAGGCGAGGGAGGCGAGGCGGCAGAGGATTCTTCGCCGCGGCGCTGATCGCTTGGCTTTCATTACGGGAGAATCCAAATCTCTGGTGCCGGGTGAGTGCCGTCCTTCTCTAGATCATGCTATTCCATTGGGTCCAGCTGAAGATCTTTCCTTTCTCGTCGTAGATGAGGAGAAAGAGAAGGATTTGACGAAGAAAGAGCTGGTCGAGGATAGACCAGCCAGCTCCTTGGATCGAAAACAAGAAATCGAGGAAGATTCTTTAAGCTCCCTGAACGATCAATCCGGTGATCAGCAGCAGCAAGAGCAAAACAAGGATCCTGGAAAGGAAAATGGTGGCAAAGGTTTGGAAGAACTCGATCTCACGCGAAGACCACCTAGCCAGGATCATCAGCCAGCAGCAGCAAACCCGTCTCCCACGCATTCCTCGCCAAAGTCCGGAGCACCATCGATCTCCCCATGGAAGGCACTCTCGTCATCGATCGAGTCCTCGAGGCTCGCTCGAGCAATCCTCGCGGTGGCCATCGCCGTGACGGTGGCATTCCAGAGCACGGCGGCCGAGTGTGGCGGTGGCAAACTGGACGACTACAACCTCTTCGCCGCTATCCAGCCGACGATGCTGCTCTTCACCACCAGCATCGCGCTCGTCGCCGCCCTGGCGCTGCTAAAATCCAAGAACACCACCACCACCACCACCACCACCACCACCACCACCAAGGAAACGCCGACGATACTTTCTTCGAGGCTTAAGAACAGTGGTGGCGTGAGAATCCCGGGGATGTGGGGCGACGCCATCGACGCTTTCCTGGCCGCCAGGAGGATCACGGCGGCGCTCTCGGCGGATCTGGGCATTTACGTGGTGGCGATGGTTTGCGCGATGGCTTGTGCCCGGCCATGGATTTGTCAATAGAATCCTGTTACGGCTATAATGGTATTATTAGATGCTCTCTTCTCTCTCTCTTAGCTTTCTCCAAGATCTCGGGCCTGGATTGGTCTCTTTTTGTTGAGGAAAAGAAGGAGAAATTCTCGATCGATTAGGTCGGGCAGATCAGATGGGCGGCGACGCCGCTACTCCTCCGCCACCGCCGCTGTGCCCGAGCAGCAGCAACATCAAATGGCACGCGGGGTGTGTGACCAAGATCCAGCGCAGCAATCTCCTCCGCCAAAAGGGCTGCATCGTCTGGTTCACGGGGCTGAGCGGCTCCGGCAAGAGCTCTGTGGCGTGCGCGCTCGAGACGCGGCTGGCGGCGCTGGGCAAGCTCGCCTACGTCCTCGACGGCGACAACGTCCGCCACGGCCTCAACAGCAACCTGGGCTTCTCCGCCGCCGACCGCGCCGAGAACATCCGCCGCGTGGGCGAGGTCGCCAAGCTCTTCGCCGACGCGGGGCTGGTCACCCTCGTCAGCCTCATCTCGCCGTATCGATCCCACCGCGACGCCGTGCGCTCCTCGGTCGGATCGCCCAGCTTCATCGAGGTGTTCATGGATGTCCCTCTCGAGGTATGCGAGCAGCGCGACTGCAAGGGGCTGTACAGGATGGCGCGGGCGGGCGTCATCAAGGGCTTCACGGGGATTGACGATCCTTACGAGCGCCCGCTCCGGCCGGAGATTTGCTTGAGAGCTTTCGATGCCGGGGATGGCTCCGCGGTCTCGCTCCACTCCATGGCGCAGACGGTGGTGGATTACTTGGCCCAGCACGGCTTCCTCTCCAGCTATGACTGCTCCGGGGACGCGGGAGCTCCCGCCGCCGCCGCGAATGGGAGCTGTTGACAGAGAGCGCCTGCTTTATCAGTGGGAGAATAAGTTGCAATGTCTACTCCTTGTAGACATGACGCACACAACTAACGATTGTTATTATGTTTCTAGTGAAAGATGTGGGGAAGATTCAGCCTTGCTTTGGCGAGGCTGACGATTCAAGTAAATAAAGAACGTTCCATTTTATCACTGACACTTTTTTGCCAGGCTGTGATCACCTCGCGGGAAAAGATACCGCATTGTGCAACAAGGGTGAGCTGCAAGAGATTTTTTGTTTCAAAAGTATTAGGTTTAGATTGAAACCTTCAAGAACTATTTTCATGAGTTTTTCTGATACTAATTATATAGATAGATAAATATAAGATCTTGTAGCTGGTCAAGGTTTGTGAAGATTAATTATCATACACTAACAATAGTGGCAGGGATTTCTAATGAAAATTTTATAAATGAATTTGGCAATTCCTTTAATATGATTACTAGGATTAATTTGATATTATTTGGAAGTTCCATTTGTGATTATTGATGCAGCATTAATTTGAATGCTTCTACTAAAGCTAAAATTTTAGACAGTATTAGTTTTTATCTTTAAAAAAGAATAGGAACAATACAAAGATGAGACAATTATGGCAAAGGGAAAACTGATGGTTCCCAAACCTAAGAATAGTCCATGTGAATTTTTAGTGTTACTTTTTACAAAATTTGCAAACTTACTTACATCACATTTAAATTGCTGTAGGGATTGGAAAGTGATGTGTATATGTATGCATTTGGATGAGTTCTCATAGGGTCCCACCACATCATCATGCCATATGGTAAATACACATTGGACTGCCAAATCAGAAAGGGTAAAGTGAGGGTTTTTTAACTCCTCAGAGTCACATTTACATGGCACATTCTTTTGTGAGCTCTTGGCTTCTCTTGAGCATATAGCAAGTAGCCAGGATTTTTACAGTATCATCTATTATAGTGTGAGGTTTTTTCTCACATTTATGGGTGTTGTAATGCATCATTGTGCATGTAGAGTGCAAGGATCAATTAGTGGTCACACATTGACATTGACTAGGATCATTGGAAGTTGGCCACAAATGCAAGTTTTTTCTTGTGGCTGTCTTCACCAGAATGTTGCAGTAAGGTATGTGATTTTTTTTCTCAATCCAGCCATCATGATTTCTCAAGGATTGAATGTAAACATGGTTTTTTCTCCAAAACATACATTGTATGTAAGCAACAATTTCTTTATTTGCGAGTTGTGAGTTATAGTGACCATATTTTTCCTATGTACATAGCATTATTTCTCACAATTGAAGTGAGTTTTTCTCTTGCACATGGCAATAAGCGTAACACTACATATGAATAATGATATCGAAAGCACATGCTCATGGTTATTATTTTCTTTTGAAATATAGATTCTATATGGCTCCATTGTGCTCTTTTGAGCAATGCATGGATACAAAGAAACGAACCAAACAATTTGCTAGCTTCATCAGGACATATGTAACAATCATGAAAATTACATTGACATATCTTTGTGAGCATCCATTGTTGGTACATCCTTAAGCACATACAAACTATAAGTCCTTTACTGTTTACTTTTGAGTGTAGACTGTGAACACACATTACGGGTGTATAATATATAAGCCAAACAAACACATTGTTTGCATCACTTATGGCAATGTAAGTGAGACACTTTACATTTGAATGAATCAAAATTTATAGTTTACTTTCATAGTTCTCACTTATAAGATTCTGTAAAATCTTAAGTCCAGCTTAAAATTGTTGCCATGGTCCTCACTTACAAGATTGTACACTGCCAATGCCAATCAAGAGTGTCGCTCACACCATTAAAAAAACATGCTGAAAATGAGCTCCCACACAATACTGCCCAAAAACTTAAACCCCATTGTTGTAAAATGGCCCTTGATGACTGCATTTCCCACATGCCATTGTGTTTTCATATTTGGCATGAAAAATGGTATGGGCACAAAAAATAGTTTCAAGACATGTTTGTAAGTTTTGAGAACTTTCAATATTTGCAAAAAAGTTATACATTCACATGTGACATATGCCTACACATATGTGTCGAGCCTACTTCCTCCTTGCCAAACCTGTTGCCACTTAGGTTCAATCTAGTCTTATCTAGGTTTGGTCTAGGCCCACCTTTGGCAAATCCAAGTTTGGCATATCCAAACCACTACATCACATTTCCGTTGCCATAATAGCTAAATATAAACATATTATAAATATAGGTAGTACTAATATAAGGAATTTTGGCTTTTAAATTAAAAATAAACTAGTGTTCTTTTTTCCCTAATTAAATGACTAACAAGTCAGGTAAATATCAATGCATTCTAGATCTAATTGCTTTTTTCTTTTCTTTCTTATAGTATTTCTATACTATTTAAATAAAATCAGGTTGTGTTAACAAATTAGGACCAGATGCATATATAAGGCTAATTTCCACTTTTGAATCTCAAATAAAACTTGAAGCATTGCATCTTTATCACACTATTGAACATTGTCAAGTAGATACTTTTGATATTGAGGATGGATGTATTTCACTAAACAATGAGATATGTTCACTTTAAGTTTTATGAATTAATAGAAGGTAATCATGTAAACTGGTGGATCACATCTCAATACAAGGATAAAAATGGAAATATATTAAGAAGTACTCAGTTTGAAATAAATGTGTGGCTTCTCCATCAAATTAACAGATTAAACAATAAAATGTGTTTTCAATAGCAAAGAGAAATGCAAAGTTTATGGATGCTGATGTGATACTTGTCAGCTCTTCAAAGTGGTCACACAAAAATATAATATGTAATAGACACTTGAGAGCACATAAAAACAGTGATTTTCTACTTATATTGTAAAATACATGTAATCATTTATTGCCTTGTGTGCTGAGGATGTTGACAATTATAAATAAGAAAAAGTCTCTCAATCTCCAGAAATTCAGTTTAGCAATGCTGCCTTGACCTTCTAAGACACATCTACAAGATGTGACAAAATACTATACCCCACAACATTTATGAAGAGGCCAAGCAATCCCAGAATTTGTAGCATTCTAAAGAGTTAGATACATTGGCAAGAAAAAATAATAAATAATAAATAAAATATATTTATAAGAAATTTTTGTTTTGTTTTAGAAATAAAAAATAGGTACATTTAAAAGTTTTCTAATCTCAAATATTT